CAGAAAAATTCTTCAAAGTTTTTTATGATCGCATGAAAGTCGCTCAGCAAGAAATCAAGGCTACAGTCACAGTTAACACCAGTGACCTAGGAAATAAAAAGAAAGATGACGACTCGGACAGGGATGTACCAGCCAGGAAAAGAGGTAATTCTTCAGTACTGCAGTAATATCTCGTCATATGCAACTAAAAGCTTCATCCTGGGAGATTTGTTTTGTTCTGTTCTGTCTTTTGGATTCAGTACTCGGCATTCAAGTTAAGAATTCAGTCCTGCCTTGACATCATTTTCCCTCATCATCCACCTGGATATAGAAGTTGCTGAAATGGTGACTGGTATGGCTAACGATGGCCCAGCCAGCTAGAGTACCTTAATGTATTGCTTAATCTTTGTGTTAAACCCTCTGGCTTTCAAGGAAAATGATGGAATTCTTGCATTTAAAGTGTACCTATATTCTCAGTATGGAATAGTGATACACTGAGATTTCAAACATCTTCTCCCCATGCCACTTTTGTGCACTCTTCTCATCTACCAGTGCACATTTTGGTGCATTGGTATTTTCTGCCAATAATATGAAACAGACAATGTTGTTTTTCAGTGATACATTATCAGTGACTTAGTAATATGACTTGAATGCATCAGACAGTCATAAATTGGAAAAATGTAGCATGAACATGGTAAGGCAAAATATTTCAGAGCACAACTTTTTGTTCTTTCTTGCTTTTTGAATGCAAATGGGCAGAGATATTAGTTACTAACCCTGAACATAGTGGCTAAAATACAGCGTTTAAAGATATTTTTCGGGATTCCATGCAAAACTGTGCGCCATGATACCTTGGCAACTTAACTAACTGCCCAAATGCTACTTTTTAAAAGTAAGGCTATAATAGGTTGAATCTGGTTTTTGTCAGACTTAAAGCAGACCTCTTAGAATGAAATCTGACTGATTTTAGTGTGTCTGCCATGTCTGAGTAAGTTCCAGTTGAACTTGATGTGTAGAAGTCTAAAAACCTCGTAAATATCTGCAGTGATCCTAAGAGTTTATTATCTTTGGAAGGAGCTTTCATTCACATTAGGATAATTGCAGTCATGGAAACATCCCTTCCACAGATAATGGAAAAAGTAAGGAACCTACCTGGGGGGTTTTGTTTGTTTGTTTTGGAGGGTTTTTTTTTTAACTTTTGTTTTTTCTGCTAGCAAGTATCTTTTATGATGGGAAAGCTTCATCTACTAAAACTTTTAATTATGATAATCTATAAGAGATTAACCTTATCATTAAAGAAAGATACCGTGTTTGTTTGCTTGGTTCATTACTATACTGCCCCAAATTATGCCTTGTTGCGAAGAGATGTGAGATGAGCCAGTCTGACTCTTTTAAGCCTATTATACTAATCTGGCCACTTTTTCAGTGAAAGGCAGAATGCTTGGTGGCCAATGTATAAAGCTTACTGCAAATGGCAAATGGTCATCATTTGCTAATGGAATGTATCATTGTGTGTTGCAGCACTAAGGGAGCCTATGACCCAGATAACAGAGGAAGCAAGAGATCAGTTGGTTGAGGCATCTTGTGCCACGAGAAAGGCATATAACACTTACAGGAGGGAAGCTGATCCTGACGACCATTATTCAACTGCAGATGGAGCACCAACTACAGCAGACAAAAATAAAGATGAATTGGAGATGAGTGTTGTTATCACAATAATGCAGCCCATCCTGCGTTTCTTGCAGTTGCTGTGTGAAAATCACAATCGGGACCTGCAGGTAGGCTAGTTAATTTAATGTTCTCTGACATCTTTTTCACAAAAGGCAGGCATCTGATGGAGCTATGTGTTACCTTTCCTCAAGGAAAGGCAGTGCCTACTGAAGGCATTTTGCTTTCTGGAGAGTACTGACATCACAGCTCACATAAGGACAATACTGTAAAAGTTCCTGCTGAACCATTCAGATCCTAACTCACATCTTCATCTCTCTTTTCCTGCCCCTTTCATGGGACTGCTTGATGAGCCCTGATAAGTGATGTGTTGGCCCCATTCCCAAACGGCAAGATTGAAAAGCCAGCTTTTTGAAAAGCAAAATGCTTCTGTGATGGAGTGTGCTGGGCTGAAACGGATGTGACATCAGGTCTCTGTTCTGCCTCTTCCTTCCTCATTGGAAACTCGCTACAGAGAAGGAAGTGCAGAAAGAAGCTGATGCATTTTCCTTGTCCCTAAAGTGGGTCTCAGATTATATTGGTTTGCTACAGTTTACTGTGGGCCTGTGTGTATTCCCTGTAAAGCATACACTGCATGTAAGAGCTGCATCATTTGGGCTTAAGACTCTAAGCATGGATGGATTTATATGAAATAGCTGTTCCTTAAGGTGTTCCTTAAGTGGGCCCAGCACTTTGAACTGGAAGTTAATGACTGTTTCAGGATTCCCTGTCTCCTGGTGGTCACTCTCAGACTGGTGCAAAGATCACCTCTCAGATTGGGAGCAGTCAATCATGAGAGTCTCCACCTTTATTCTTTCCAGGGGAAAAGGACAAGGCAAGTACAGACTGCTCTTGCTTGTTCTTGTTGCAAGTGAATGTGCAGCAGGGACATGCTTTCTCAGATTGGCATTGAACCTTGCAGTTACCCTGTGACACCAATCCTAAGCTCCAGCTTGGGTTAAAGGTGTTTCCGCAAACACTGGAGGCGAATACTAGGGAAGCAGCTGTCTTGTATTGAAAGATACCAGCACCCACAGCAGAAAAGCTTTCCTGCTCTTTACAAGTTCAGATATTGTTGGAAAGGGCTCTCGATGTGGTGGGATGGGAACCTTGATTAGACTGGATGTCTGGAGAGCCTTCTCCCACACTGAATGAAAGGATGGACAGTGGGAAATGTTTCCACTGTGAATGTCAGCACAGCCCTATTCTTTTCTGTTCTGTTCTGGTTTTGAAAATGATATATGTAAGTTGTCTTAAAACCATATATGCTGAGCTGAGTTAATGTTAAAAAAATAAAAAAAAATCTCTGCTCTCCATTTTTTCATACCCATCTTCAGAACTTTCTACGTTGCCAAAACAACAAGACTAATTACAATTTAGTGTGTGAAACACTGCAGTTTTTGGACTGCATTTGTGGAAGCACAACTGGAGGACTTGGACTTCTTGGGCTGTACATTAATGAGAAAAATGTAGCACTAATCAACCAGACACTGGAAAGTTTGACAGAATACTGCCAAGGACCCTGCCATGAAAACCAGGTAATACAATTGTCACGAATGAAAACATGGCACATTTGCAAAATGGTCCAATGGGAAGGTTGGAACTGTGAGTTTTTCATGGTTGAACATGGAAGTTTCTAGCTGATAGGGTTGTAGAGAAAAACCTGTATATAGTATTATGATCTTGCAAGTTGCAAGACCGGTTGTTGCAGAGGCAGTAGTTTGTTAATGGATTGTCTGTTTGGCTTCCCAGGGGGAGGAGAAGTCAGAGTCCCTTGTTCACACGTAGCACTATCTAGACAGAAGGTCCTAGGTTATTCAATTACTTCTGTTTGCAATGAAACAATTTCATACATTTCCAAGTGACATGTAAACATTGACAGTAGTGCCCCAAAACTTCAGAAGTGGCAGCTCCCTCCTACTGAGGAGAAACTCCTTATTAATACGGTATCCTACACTAGTTGTCCTCACAGAACGATAATATGGAATGACTATTCTCTAAAAAGGTGTTGTTACAAATACACAATATCTGCATTAGTAAGTTACTGAAACAGAAGCAATGTAGTTTACTATGTCATTTTTTGACATTGAGATGTAACATCATACTTTTTGAGTTATCCACTTTTCTTTGGATATGAGCAGTGAGTTACCCATTAATTTTTTATAAAAAGCATCTTACAATATTTCCTTTAACATTATGTTTCTTATCTTCTTCCCACTCCTCAGAACTGCATTGCAACTCATGAATCTAATGGCATTGATATAATTACAGCATTAATTCTCAATGATATCAACCCACTGGGAAAGAAGCGGATGGATCTTGTATTAGAACTGAAGGTGAGTAAATACTTTTAACTATGAAAATGAACAAAATTACAGGAGAGCACAAGCTTCTGAGCAGAATGTAGAATGGTCCATTCTGTCCATTAAGGGTCTATTAAGCACCCAGGGCAAGTTGATATTGCACAGGATGTTTTAAAAGTAATTTTATTTAAGAACGTATAATGTTTTATTTGAGAAAGTCCACCTGTTCTTAATTTATTATTTATTTCACTATAAAAAAGCAACAACTGCATTTTCAAATATCACCAAACTGAGTTGTATAAAACTTGCATTTTTCCCATGTAGGTTAGGTGCCTGTACCAATTCTGAAATCTTCTTGTCTGGATCTTCTTTCCAAATGGATAACATTAAACTCCCAGCATTTTGAAATGGGCAGGGTTCCTCCAATATTTATGGTTGCTTAAAACATGTGGCAAATAATATGACAATTACATTCAGATCAATCAGTGTGAGTTCAGTATGAATTTCTGTCATTTTTCTTATGGGCAAAAACACAATTTGCCCATGAGGGCTGAATGGCAACATTTGCAAATGCAACATTTGTTGGAATCTAGGTTTGGCTTTACAGAGTTTACAGCTTCACAGCCTGCTTTGCTACTGGAAGCACTTAATGAGGCTGATCAGTTTTTATTGACTCATGATCCATGCTTACAAATATTTACTATTGGTGAATAAATATGGTCTGCAAGAATGGAATAGAGAATTCATAGAGTCATAAATTCATAGAATAGTAAGGTTGGAAGGGGCCAAGTAGGCCATCAGGTCCAACCCTCTGCTGGTGCAGGATGCCATGTTACACCATCCCACCCAGATGACTGTCCAGTTCTGCTTTGAATGTCTCTAGTGTGGGAGAACCTGTGACCTTTCTTGGCAATTAGTTGAATTGTTCTGCTCAGTCTAATCAATGGATTGTCATTTTGGTGTCTATATTTCAAGCTTCTATATATCTCAAGTTATGACTTAATCAGCAAAACTCTTGCTTCAGATTATTGGATGCCAAATCTCTTTAATAAGTTGGCTAACTGCTCAGGATGTAATGCTTTCTTGAATTATATGTTTTGACTATGTGCTTTTTCTTTGGAGGAAGAGGTTGTAGTACAGATAAATTTTGTATTGCAACACATTTAAAATATGTATTTTATTATATCTTTTAAACTTCTTCTTGCTACCTGAAAGTTAAGCGAGTGGTTTTGCGTACAAGTGGATATAATACAGATGCTGAAGAAACAGAATGAGGGACTATTCCCTTATGGCTCAGAGACATTTTTGTATGGTTAATTGCAAACTTGACCACTTGCAGCCAAATTTTATGATAAGATAAAACCAAGTGCCTTCAGTGTAAAGACAGGTGCAACATGTCTGCAGGCATGTCCCAAGAAGGCACTGGGAAGTGAGTCAGGTGGGGAAAGTGGAAGGTGTCAAGGCACCAAATGTGGGAGCAGGAAATTGGTAAGGATACTTAACTGCTTTGTAATTATGCCCTTTCCCATTTGTTCATCTTCGTTGCTTTCTCAACAAACAAATTTTAGCCGAATAGGCTGTTGGAAATAGCCACACAGATTTATGCTTTTCTTTTACCTTCTTTTTGTTTTAGTAATTCATCAAACTGTTACCAACTATCTTTTTTCACTTCCACCAGAACAATGCTTCTAAGTTACTATTGGCAATAATGGAAAGTAGGCATGACAGTGAGAATGCAGAAAGGATCCTTTATAACATGAGACCAAAAGAACTGGTAAGTTTCCAAGAATATGCCCAAAAGTTTCTTTGAGTAGAAATCAATTTGGCAGCATGGAATTATCTTGTTGCCAGTCGCATGACTAAAATCATACTCTTTGAGATCTTGTAACATAGCCCTTTTGTTAACTGTTAACTCTGCTCAGCAGTAAATTGGAAGAGTAAATTGGTAATTTAGTCAAAAGGTCTCTATAAATGATGACTTTTAAGTCTGCTTATTCTCCAAGCGTAAGAAGTGCTGCTTTTTATTGCAACCAGTATATTAACTGGGTTAGTCTATAGAAGGAAAAACAGCAGACTTCTTTGGCATCTCTGAACAGTGAAGATGTTGGGAGTGTATAGAAACACATGGGCCACACAGAAGAATGAAAATTTGTTTTACAGATTTGTTTTGGATGAAACAGTAAACCCTTTAAAAGCACTGTAGCATGGATCGACCTTAGTTCTGCTGATGGAACAGAAGGCTATATTTGACAGTTTCTCCTTTCACTGAAGCCCCTTTTGATCTGGACTGTTGGGGCTCTTCCACACGTGTGAGAAGTAGCATTTAGAGGACGAAGGATTTGCAGTAATCATCTCCTCCCCTTATACCAGAAAGATATCTTAGCTGAAGCAAAGGCTTTTGTAGATGGAAGGTACCTTCTGTTCACAGAAGTGAAATTTCGATCCAACTCTATGTTGGACTGTGAGAAAGCCTGTGAGAAATCAGGAAACATAGGGAGCCACATTCAAAACAAAGCAGCTCTTAAGGGATGCAATTCCAGTGGCATCTGAGATCAGTCTGACTGGTGGAAGATATAACAGTCCAGCTGTCCACTTTTTTCCTTTGAAAATCAGGAAGCAAATGGGGCAAAAACATCTGGGTTTCTATGACCAAGCTCTCTGGATTGTAAGGTTAATTTTTATGCACTGCTAATCAGCTTTGTAGTGTGTTAATGAGAGGTGAACTAGTGGTTTATATATAACAAAAAAGCCCCAAAATGATCTAACAGCTTTGAAGAGTTATTTTCCATTCAGCATTAACAGATGACAAAACACAAGCCTGGAATACCAAAATACAGGCTGAAAGTCTCTAAACTCACCACATTTTTTCTTATTTGTGGCAGTTGTCTTAGACAAGTCTGATTCAATGTATTATCTAGCAACAGTGGGGTAAGCTGAGGATAAAATTTTAGTCTTTATTTTGGATTTTGGTCTGCTGTCAAATGATTTCTGAAGTAGACTACAGCTGACAGCAAATGGCTGTAGCGTTTTGAAAAATACAAGTCTTTATAATTTAAGCCACAGATTCCTACTTCAGGAGAGATTAAGGAATCAATGTACAATTCCTGTACAGAGTTTCCTTCCAGAAAGTCTGAGGTAGAATAAGAATCCCAAGCATTCAGTCAGCTCAAATGTTGTTTTGACTTCTTATGTCTCTGTCTTGGGTTTTTGTTTTTGTTTTTGCTTTTGTTTTTCAGTTTTGAGCTGGGTTTATCTTTCTCCTCAGGTAGAAGTAATTAAGAAGGCTTATCTGCAAGGTGAGGTTGAGTTTGAGGATGGAGAGAATGGCGAAGACCTTGCTGCATCACCTAGAAATGTGGGGCATAATATTTACATATTAGCCCATCAGGTATGATTGCATTTATATGAGAATATTAGACCAACGTCTACAAACCATTTATTCTGTACCTTTAGGGCTATACCCCTGGTTCAGTTCCATGGGGAGTGACCACATGGGGCTTGTTGGAACCTCGATGCCCTTGGAGCACAATCCAAGCTTGCTGGCATGTGCTGGGAATTCTAAAATGTTTCTGTCAAAACCTACATACAAGTTGCATCCTAATTCAGTGAATTTGATCTCTGTTGGCACAGGGCAACTGTATTGCTTCAGTGCACTGGTCATGCTAACCCACACAGATAACCAGGACAGTCATGGGGCAAGACAGGTGCTACATTCTACTAGTAGGAGTGTTGCGTAAGGCTTGACACAGCTTACTACTTCCTCTTTGTCCCCAGGTATTGCATGTCCCAGATTTCTCTCCTACACAGATAGTGTAGGAAGTTCAGATTTAGAACTGCTTAAGGCTACTCCAGGAAAAACAGCTTGTCAGCTGTTGTCTTCAGTCATCATGGCCAGTCAGCATCTGCCCATGCTAGTGACTGATCACTGAAATAGACAGGGAATGCTAGAAGTGTGCAGGGATAAGGCAGTATTCACAGGGAGATGCAAGCAGCCATTCCCTGTTTTAATATGCATAGTCACACTGAACCAGCACTTGTCCTCACTAGCTGCACTCTTAGTTCCGGTAGTTATATCAGACCTTCAAAATAAGTGCTTCATTACAGCAACTTTTTCCATGATGTGCTGCTGTATACAAACTCTTCACTGTTAAGCATTGTGACAGCTTTCATTTCCACTGTTCTTAAGCAAATCAGTTGCGGTTTGCCTTTCCTTAAATCTGTATCAAGCAAGTATACATCACATTGAAAAATTAATTACACTCTAAGTAAGAGCAGACTGAGTTGTTCCCATGTCACAGATATGGATTGACGGTTATACAGTGGTTCATAAACTGAAGAAAGAAGGTGAGGGGGTGTTTGATGGCTAGTGGACTTTTTGATGGACTTTATGTTTGTGTGTGTGCGTGTGTAATATGGAGGTTCCTTACCCTCACACATACTTTGAATTGTTTTTGTAACTATTTAGTATTACACTTATATCCACTAGTGGCACTTTTGTTATAAGCCCTATGGTTTTCCTGCAAAATAGTATCCTTGTATGGAAAGTATATTTTGCCAAACGGTACCAGTCTGCAGTGGATACTGACACCCCAAATAGTGTTCATATCCAGAGTTATGTATTCAAAAGTCATGCTTTCAAGCAGCCACATATAAAGGAAGGAAGAAATAACTCTAGTGGGAAGCCCATTTTTACGTTAAAGGAGGAAAGTAGCCTCTATCCTTGCTACTCTGACTCCTTTTGGGCCCATGCATGGTTTGACTTGAAATAAAAGAAGTGTACTGTTCTTTAGCTTTCTTATTGTTTTAAAAAAATTAGGAGCCCTATGGTAGCTTCCTTCCACTCTATAACTATCCATTTATTTTAGCTTGCTCGTCATAACAAGGAATTGCAGAACATGTTGAAGCCTGGAGGCCAAATAGATGGAGATGAAGCTTTGGAGTTCTATGCCAAGCACACAGCTCAAATTGAGGTAAAGACTACAGTGAAATTTGATTAAACTTAGCTGTGACAGTTTAAGGGAAGGTAAACCAATTCAGTGTAGTTCTTCCTGGGTTCTAAGGTATTCTGCTAAACAAAACAAAACACCATTTCCGATTTATTGAATAACCAGTTTTAATAATAATCTCCAAAAATTGCAATCGGTAGATGCTTTTCCCAAACATGAGAATTGCTTGTCCTTGCTGCTCACACATCGAACATTTAGATATTCCCGAATCAAATAGTGTAGGTATGAAAATGTTAGAATTGTATTGTTTTCTGTTAAGGTAGATAAATGGCTCCTGGATGCTTGTTGAACTCCTGATTAATTCAAGAGAAAATAGCTCAACATTTTCAGCTTTTTAAAGTTGTTCCCTCAACAGGTGATCAAAATCTTTTTTTTCTTCATTAAGATGCTTGGAAAAATGGTTCATACCTTACATTTATAGGCCAGACCTTTCTTGTATTAAGTTTTTTGTAAGTAAAAACAATTGAAAATACTCTTCAAGGATACACTTAGAGAAGAGAAAAAATATTACTAACTGTGGGAACTGAATAACAACAAGGTAGGCTGTGCAATTAACTACTTTATAGTATTTTTCCCAGAAGCAAGATGAACATCATTTAGATATGAATTATTCAGTCTGAGGGAAGGTGCTTGAAACCATGATCACTGTATTTTCATATGGGCATCCTAAGGTATTGGGTTGCCCCACAGGATCCTGAAAGTTCACTTTGGGTGGGGTGTTATGTGATTCTAATGTTGAACTTCAGCAAAATTGCAAGGCATCCCAGGATACCTGCATCACACACAGCTTCTTTGCTGGCCCAGGCAGATGCCCACTCTGAATGTATTCTATGCTATGAACCTATGCAGACATCTGTACATGTGGAACGATTAGTATGTCTAAAGCATTTTCTTTAAGAAACCATTTTAAGGTAGGAAGAAATGAATTTATATTGGGAATGCCTTGAGCAGCTAGTATAGTATGGATCTAATCAGTCAGTAATAACTAACTTTGGGATACTGTAGCAAATAGTCTACTATCTAATACTCTCAAAATTGACCATCTTGTGTCCTGATATTTGATTAGGATTATGTAACTTGGAGAGTATAAATATACTTCTTTAAATTAGTGATGGTTTACATATCAATATTGATAAACCATGTTAATATGAGCTACACAGTTTTCATTAATTGAATGACTAATGAGTGAGTTGTAACCTGAGTTTATTTCAGTTTCTTAAAGATACACACAAATTAAGGATGTGCATGTATTTTCATGTAATATATTCCCTACTTCCTCAAGCAGTGAGAAATTCCAGGGAGATTTTTGATTGGTTTAGTTTCCTGTAGATGAGAGAGCAGAGGAGATGGTGTCTTTGTATTTTGCTTTCTTATAAAGAAATCAGAACCTAAGTGCAGACTAACAGGTACTTAGGATGTAGGGTGAAATTCCTGCTGCTTCTTAGATCAGTTTCTCAGTGACAAACTTTGCACCCCAAGCTATTACCTCTTCAGCTAATGAAACAGTTAAGTCTGTTTTTTCCTTCCCCAAAGTCCAAGCTCTTAACCTTTTTTTTACTGTGTCTCTCCACTCGTAAACTTTTCCAAGCTCTGCTGGATATCTTATTTGAAATCAGATAACAAAAGACTCCAACTTTCCAGACAACAACTTATAACTATTTCAGAGATGAAATAATAGTTGACCAAGCTGAATTATTAACCACAATTTTGCCTTGTAAAGCAATAGCTAGTCAGCAGTGCTAACAGAATATGTTTGCAGAAACTTTTGATAAGGAACTGGTCTAGATGTTCCCACTTGAAATGGTATTGAAACAAGCAGTGTTACACAATTGGGTATCACCAAGCATTTTCAGAAATGCCATGAGATCTGGATAAGTGAGATTCTGCATAGTAGGAGATGATGATACGGTTTCATTTTAAATGGCCACCATTCAAACCAACTTTTAATCCTTTCATATAGATTGTTAGATCGGATCGTACTATGGAGCAAATAGTCTTCCCTGTGCCTAGTATATGTGAGTTCCTCACCAAGGAATCAAAACTACGAATCTACTATACCACTGAGAGGGATGAACAAGGCAGTAAGATAAATGACTTCTTTATGAGATCAGAAGATCTTTTCAATGAAATGAACTGGCAGAAGAAACTAAGAGGTATGCTGGTTTGCTGCAGAAAAGGCTTTTTTCAAGATAGCAGTTCCAGATTCATAGACGGATAAGTTTTTCTCTGGATAAGAGACAAACAGCTGCAGCCTCCAGGGCATTTTATGTCATTATTTTCATTCAAGGTTTACAGTACTACATAATTTTGCTTATATTATCTTACCTTGCCTTAAACATTGGTTGTGCCTATTGCCATCTGTTTCCACATTACATTTCCTAGTTAATACTTTGAAAATATACAGAGGAAAGCAGCCATTCCATTATGTGGATGGACATCTTTGTGAAATAAATGATCCAACATTAAGTTGAGAATTAACTAAAAAGTAAACTAGATACCTGTGTTCAGGATTTCCTGTAGAGTTTTGTTATGCTTGAATTCAAAGGGAGCTGCATTAAGATGCAAATTTGATTGTGGGGTTGGGGGGGGAGGGGAATGAGGAAGAGTCTTTGGGTACTAGGACAATACATTTTATTATGATTATTTTTTAGTCCACACAGTCCCTATCATCAGGTGGTTGCAGTGTTATCCCAAGCACTGGGAAAAGCTGTGTGTTTTATTTTACTGACATTCTTACCAAGTCCCTGATGAGCTACATAAATAGCTGGTGCTCTGTCTTGAGGCTTGGTGGGTCACAAACTATACAGGCCTCCCTCCGTATTAGTCTGAAGTGGAACAACTGGCTTACTAGGATCACCTCGTCTGTTTGGCACAGTGCATAACTTTGTTCCCTTCATGGTTTGAATACTCCAAAGCTTTATTGTAATTTAAGAAACGATGCATTTAGCCAGAGTTTGGTAATGTAGTGAATGTCTGAAGGCCAAACTAGGTGTGACATTATGCACAGGACTGGCTCTTGTGCGCACTTAGGCTTTGTTCACCAGATAGCAGGGCTGGAGGCAGGGTGATCCAAATGCGTAGAGGGCCACAGAAGAGAGGGGAGTTAGTTAGTCTTTCTTTCCTGCCACAGTCCCTGCCTGGGTTGCAAACCGTTTGCTGCGGGGGGGGCAGCCATTGCCACCTGGGTATCCCAGTTAAGGGCAAAGGGCTACATCCTCACCCCTCCTTTCCATCCCTGCCAGTGTGGTGCCCCATGCGGGTCAAGGGCCTATAGCCATGCCTTTGTAAATAACATGACACATGCAAGTGCCTGTGATCATCCCCTGTTTAATGCAACAACTATATTAGCTCTGCATTCCACTGCATATAGGACCAGAAATGTCATTTTCACACATCCCAGTGTGACAGCAGGTTAAAGAATATGAAGAGCCATGGCGTGTAGTCAACACATTCCAACCTTTAGGGTGTGTGTGAGTGTGTATTTGGTCATGTGGTGCTTGTAAACCTAGGTGAAACATAAAAACTAGTTTCTATTCAATATGGCCTTTGATCTGAAAAGGCTTCCCAAGGAATCAAATGCCCTGAATGCATGGCCTTTGCAAACAATAAAAAGCTACTTTAAATCAGGTAGTAAAGATTACTGCACTTGATAGTGTGTGATTCTAGGAAATGTTGCCATTAACACTGTTCTCTAGGAACCTTTCCCCCTTCTTAAAGATATCCAATTCCTTTGTATCTCTTAAAACACTTTTTGTTTAATTGCAGCTCAGCATATATTATACTGGTGCTCCCGCAACATGTCCTTCTGGAGCAGCATTTCATTCAATCTTGCAGTCCTTATGAATTTATTGGTTGCATTTTTCTATCCGTTTAAAGGCGTCAAAGGAGGTACTGGCATTTTAAAGTTATGAAATGTAGCATTAAAAATTAGATCACACGGGGGGAGGTCTCCACAAAGCACACTAGCAAACATTTAATGATTGTGGTTTTAAGTACTTTTCATTTTCCCAAGCAGGCAAAGTCTGTGGGTGGTGCTAATGGTTTTATTCCTGAAGCCTGGTCGTGTCTTTGCAGTATCTATTTTATTTACAAATATAAAAGCAAAGAATAATGAATGCAAACATCTTCTACCAGGCAGCACGACAACTTGACATTCCTCAGATTCCTAAGCAACTGCGTGAAAGTCTGTCAGACTGAATCCAGTCTAACTAAAATCACAGCTTTCTGCCTTTAAGTTCAAATACTGTTTCTCTCTTTTTTTTCCCCCTCCTCTGAATTCTGATGGATGTTATATTCCAGAGGCAGTGGAAAACAATTTCTTGTCATCCAACACGATTGCTCTTTTGTCAAATTACTGAGCACCCATTAATTTGGCAGGCTAAATGGTTCTGATGAGTCCATTTATGCTAATCAAGACAACCAAACTCATTATAGCACAGAGCTTGTTGCAAAGAAGCTGTCTTACATGACTGGGTGAAGCTGAACACAAGCACTAATAAAAGACTTTCAGAAACATTAGTAATAGGCCCATCTTTGACTGTTGCAAGTTGAAACTAAAGTGTATTTATATGCTACTGTCTTTACAATAGAAATCAGTGGTTCAGTCTGTGTCCATTCCATGGTACTTTCAAATGTCAATCCTGCTTCTCCATTAGTTTTTTAATACACACAACCTGGATTTAAATACATATTTTGATGCATAGTCCAAAATTTAATTTCTTTCAAAATATCCCCCCTCTTGGATGTACGCCATAACTTGGTGAGGGGGTTTGAAAAGTGGCAGAGAAACACACATATATTTTATCTGAAAATATGCATTTTTAAAATGCATTTTGATAAGTATTTTGTTGTGAGCAAGGAACTGAATTGCAGCATTTGGAGAAGTTAATTCAGAAGGTATGAATCAGGTCAGATCAAATAGTACTTTTAAAGATCAATTCCTGAATTCCCTTTGCCTCAGGGAACCCAGATAACAGGAATTTCAAGCATTCTCCCACATCTAAATATTCCAGGATCCCAGGATCCAGCCATAACTATTAAACCGACATATATGTTAGAACTGAGATACATAAGCAGTCTGTGCTGTAAGAGAGTAGAATTGCATGGAAAGAAATTCCAACATTCTCCATTTCAGTTAGTAGCTGTTGAATTAGTTTTAGGCTCATCAATTTAGAGTGTGGTTCAGTGTTGCTGCCCAGAACCTTGCAAACTTGGAGGATTTCAAGCATCCCATGAAGGGAGGAAGGAGCATGGAGGTTGCTCCTTCCTCCATGAAGGTTGCCTTTGTGTTACCTCCCACCCTGCAAAACACTCAGAAAGCTGGCTGCCTAAGCATTTTCCCTGGAGCTCAGGTGTGTGTGCGTGTGGGTGAGGCACAGCTTGGCAAAGCCTGTCTTCACCCCTCCTCACAAAACACCCTCAGAGCTCCCTCTCAAGGTTATTCTTGCAACCTTGGAGTTGCAACAAGTGCAGCTCTTCCTGCGCCAGCTGTGAGGGTGGAGGGAGGGTGTGTTGAGTTTGGAGTCTGGATTCCTGGCTCCAGCCTTGAAGTGAGCTGGACTCAAGTCATAGCTGAGCAGGAGAAAATGCTAGAAGTAGCTTAAAATGTAGTTTTCTGTACCTTGGAAGGCCTTGCCAGATTCCACATGTTATTTCTATTTTCCAGCCCGCTATATTTATGTTTGTTTTACTGAGACTTGGAAAGATAATGGGGAAAATGATAGGATAGAAACCAAGGTCAGTGAAAGGCATTTTTTAAATGGCCAGATTCATTTTATTTATTTTCAGTGAAAGGCATTTTTAAATGGCCAGATTCATTTTATTTAGTTATGGATTGGGCATTGAGAAGCAAGGAAGTTATCACTTATGGAAGCTATAGAGGAAGAAACAATATAGTTTTCCCACAAAGCTCCATTTTATGTAGCTGACAATGAGCGTTTCCATATTCCACTTACCCACAAGGAGAATATGATTGAAATTATTTTAAAAGTTGTGTGTACTGGTTACCATGTTTTAAAAAGATCTCTAAACTTCCTTGTTGCAGCTGACATTTATATTCTTGTATCAAGAGGTGTTTTCCCCCTTTGGAGAGGCAACTTTTAAAGACCAATGGAGAGATCTGTTTACCAGAAAGGGAATGTAAGATGAGGGTTGAGGGCACATCCTGCCATCAGAAGAATCCAAACACTCTAAACAAAAAAGTAGTGTAACTTCAGAATCATGTGCTTGATATTGTGAAGGAGACTGCAGGAAGTTCATTTCTCCCTGGGTTTTTAGGATTCTTTCATGAAAGATCATTTTTACCTGTGTTTGTTAAAGTTGAATAACCAGGGACTTTTGTGGAATTTGTGCTCTCTAAAATTCTAGAAGGAGCAGTGGGAGTGAGCCAGTGGTAAATTTATGTGAATACATGCTATTTATGCCAGTGAAATTTTATTAATTAAAGGGACAGTTATCAGTCTGAGAATCACAGTGTCTAGACAGCAAGTTAGTAAGCAATGCTCAGTGATGATATCAGAAAATGGCATTCATGTGGGCAGTCTTGAAGTAGGTGGAGAAGGTATTTCTTCAAGCCAGGACAGCTGTATTTTTATGTTCATATGGTTGGCCTGCAGGGACTAGCACATAGTTTTAGAATCTGCTGGATGGTTTTTTTTATAACTGGTTTTGCTTCTGAGTTTTAACTTGTATGTGTCGTTCATAGGCGTATTTTTAAAAATGGTGTTTTGCAGCCTTAGCAGTCTTAATGGCTCTGTGGAGTCATGTGAGCCCTGGATAAATTCTGACATAAATAATCAAGTGTTTTCATGTGTTTTCTGCTCCTCAGGTACGCTGGAGCCCCACTTGTCAGGGTTACTCTGGACAGCCATGCTGATATCACTTGCTATAGTTATTGCCTTACCTAAACCCCATGGCATTAGAGCTTTAATAGCTTCGACAATATTGAGGTTAATATTTTCAGTAGGCCTACAGCCAACATTATTTCTTCTAGGGGCTTTCAATGTAAGTATCAAATAAGATTTTTCTGATAGTTTATTGCCTTCTGTTATTAAAAAAAACCCAACAACACTACCTGCCTAAATGTTATTTATTATAATTATTCTGCTGTGAGTTTAAAAGAAACTCCAACAAGGTGTTTTTCAACAGGATGTTGAAACTGGTATATCAATGCACTTTGTAAATACCCTTGCCATTTCTAATTAGAACTAGTATTTCAATTGTACATTCATCTACTCTATCCTTTGCTTTAAAGGTTTGTAACAAAATAATATTTCTGATGAGTTTTGTTGGTAACTGTGGAACATTCACTAGAGGATACAAAGCCATGATCATGGATGTGGAATTCCTTTATCATCTACTCTACCTTCTAATCTGTGCAATGGGGCTTTTTGTTCATGAATTTTTTTACAGTTTGCTGGTAAGTGTTTAATCCTGACATTTTAAATTCAACTATGATTGTGGATATTTGTCACCAAATTTGTTATATTTGTACAATTGTAAGTGCATTTGAGCTGACCTTCAGAGGAATAATCATGTGCAGGGTTGCAGGCCATCCCATTTTTATGTCTTAAATATGTTGTCTCACACCTTGAAGTAACTGTCCACTCTGTCTGGATCCAGAGAATTACACAGCTAGTTCAGTAAGCCTTACTCTTAGGTCATGGCCTTTTTCACAACAGTAGCCACATTGCTACCCTGTGCAACAAATGCCTTCCAATAAACAACTTTTTAAATGGAGGGAACTTGCTAAGGACTTCTTTAGACAGGACACTTACTGTGGTCCTTCATTCACGAAAGTTTGCAAGGGCTTTTCATGACATTGCTGCCCTCCAGAGCCTCTCCTGTTTTCTCCACATATCTTGTATGGTGAAGACAGTCTGGTATTCATTCTCAAACTGCAAAATATCAGAACAGAAGCCTTGTGAACAGCTGCAAAGCTGCTATATTGCATCTGTACCTCAGCACTACCTTCTGGTTGCTTAGTAGAACATACAGACAAGAGGAGGAATATAAATCCTTATGGGTGGAAGGGAGGGGAGAAACCCATGTAAAGGACACATGTTTCTTCCTAAGCCAGTGTATTATGGCATAATGCTTTACCAGTAAAAATAAAACAGTAAGCAGTCCCGCTGCATATAGCAAGGTGCTGTTAAGATCCCAGCCTGTTTGGAATTGCTGCTCCTAAAAAGTCCAGCTGTGTCGTTTGCCTTCAAAGAGAGAGAGGGAAAAAGCAAAAGAACTGTGAAAGCAGAGGGAAATGTTTGTCTCAACAGACTTAAAGTTGAAATCACACGTCTTAAGGAAATACCAGCATAAGGTGAACTGTTCTCAGGATGTTTCAGAAACAAATCAATGATTGGTTAGCATTCTTTTTGCACCTTTCAAGATCATTTTCTCTTGACTGACAATATTAGTGCATGCATGATCTCTTGGTGGGTAACAGGGTGTTTTCACTATCAGACCTCCCCTAAATAGACTACAGCCACCACAGGCACCCAAAGGTTTAACAATAACAATAATAATGGCATCTATAGGCCCTACAGAGCACTACAGAGCTAATCAAAATTAGCTAAAACCAGGCAATTTTGACTCTGAGTGTTCTGTAGCTGCAACCGATACAACTTAAAACAAGTTCAACTGAACTGTTAGGCGGTGGGAGCCTCATGTGGACCGTGGGCTGCTTGTTGCTCACACCTGATATATAACTGCTGATCTATCAAGAGCAACTTGGAAATTCACCTGTCCTTCCAAAAATCTCACACAGGAGCAAGAGTAGGTTTAGGATGGATCATGGTGGAGGTCATTTATATAGCAAGCATATCAAACAGCAAACATTCAGCAGACAAAAAGCTGCTTGTCTGCATGATCTGGTCATGTACTTCACAGCAACTGGCAAAAATTTCACTAAAAAGAAGAGATTTAACGTGGAAGAGCTCATGTGCACATGACCCCTTGGGGATCCCCCATCTCAGATTTTATTCATTTTTATGCTAAGCCAGAACAGAAATTATGAACAAAATGTCATTCAGTCCATAATAAAGACACTCATTTTGAGGTAGAAAATGCATATTAAGTAAGTCAGTGACATCATTAGAAAAACACTGGGTTCCCAATTACCAGTTCTGTACTTAAGGTAAATGCAAGGATGACACTTGCACCAAGTATCCATAGGCTACTACAGTGTCATTTTTGTTTGGCAAAGGGCTATCCAGACTAGAGACATTCAGAAAGAAACTGAACAGTCATCTGAGTGGGATGATCTAACTTCAGATGTGTTCCAAAATCATAGGATGCCTTGCTAATAGGAAAATGAGCTGAAAGGTATATGACAGTGGACAAGTAGTAGGCATGGAGGCAGTGGTAGGAACCTAACTCAATTTCATGTCACAGATACCCCTAACATTGTCCTAAAATGTGCTTTCCCCATCCCCAGACTGACATTTTTCTTCTTTGTCCTGCGCACAAGATGCAAATAGGAAAGGTGCTTTGGTGATTGTTTGAAGGGAATGATGGTGAGATGCTTCATGTGTAAGAAGCTCTCCTGGTGGTTGCCAACTGTCACATACCTCTATGATAGTCCTATGAATAAAAACATGAGAGAAGCCATGCTGGGTCAGACCAAAGGTCCATCTAGTTCAGCACTCTGTTTACACATTGGCAAACCTGCTGCCCACAAGACCTCTCAAGCAAGAGGGGTGCAAGAGCTCTGCTTGCCAAGGGTCTCAGAAGCTGGTGTATGCAGGCATGCCACCTCTGGTAAAGGAGGTATTCCATAGCCAGCAAGCCTAGTAGTCATCAATAGCCCCCTCCCTTATGAATCTGTCAGCTTTTAAAGCCATCCAGATTGGTGGCCATCACTTCTTCCCATGGCAGCAAATTCCTTAGTTTAACTATACATTGTGTAAAGTACGTCCATATGCTACCTTTCTTAATTTCTGTTATGCATATTATCTGAGTCTCTAACATAGTGCTTTTGAGTAACCCCCAAGTACTTTGCAGTGTGTTCAACTGCTTAGACAGTCTTCTACCTAAGTTTCTATTAAATCCGATACCAGTGTAGTCACAGTTAGTTAATGGTCAAACAACATTTATATCCTGTACTATGTCCTGATCAATTCTACCTATGACTAAATCTGGGATTGCCTCCCCTCTGGTTGGTTCCATGACCCAACTGCTCAAGGACACCAAAGTCATTTAGGACAGTGAGAAATTTAACCTCTCTGTCAGAGAACCGGGGCACACATTTATCCTGGTTAAATGTGGATGGTCCAAGTCCCCCATTATTACGTTAACGCCTTTGTTGGATACTTCCCCGATTGCATTTCTCATCTCAAGATCACCTTGAGCATTCTTGTCTGGAAGACAGTAACACACTCCCATGACTAAGTCAGTTTTGGGGCAAGGTATTTTCAACCATAGTGCTTCTGTGGAGGTGTCTTCACTTTAGATTATGAAGTCTTCTGGATTCTATGCCCTTTTGAACATAGAGGGCAATTCCTCCTCCAGTACACCTTTCCCTGCCTTTCCTATACAGTGTATATCCAGAGAAGACTATATCCCATTGGTCAATGCCACTCCATCAGGTTTTTCTAATGCCGCTATATCTAGCTTCTCCTTTATCACCAGTTACTCCAACTATCCCATTTTGTCCCTAAGCCTTCTAAGACTTGCACAGAAAAACCTAAGTTCAGGGTCCCCTACCAGCCATGTGCAACTTTTGTTCTGGCACTTAGTTTTCTCCAACTGGTTATTGTGGCTTACCAAAGCCTCATTGCCTATTTCCTCCCCTCCTACATTTAGGCAATCTGAAACCTCTGCCCCTTCATCCCCAAAGGATGATTTGTCCTGAATGAGATGTTCCTGGCTTCTGTTGGCATGCCACTGCATAGTGTTCCTCCATGGAGAACTGTGGGTTTTAAAAAATTGCAGATGCCAAAATAACTCCAAAAATACCCCTTGGGAGGCGATAGTATCATATTGTCATTCATTCATAGCCACTATGAAGAGAAATCATGACTGTTGTAGTTTCCAGAACGACCACCACCACCAACAGTGTAAAACTGGCAGTGGCAAGAAATGAGGAGCATGGTTGAACAAGCTAGGCCTCTCTTTCAACCCTAATCACCTTTCTTTCTCATTCAAGTGAGGGCTTGTTCATGTAGAATATTCATAGCAGCCCCAACTATGTCTCTTCCACCTCTCCAGTAATGTTATCTTAACAGATGTTTGCAACACATCCCAACATTCGGTTCCCAAAGCAAAGATTGGTAACTCCAATGGAACTTAAGTGTAACTATAACAGCCTTCAGTCAGTTTGGCTCAGGACAGCTGTCTCCTGATAGTAGTACAGTCACAGAGACCACAAAGTTTCCATTAGGCTAATCTGTGGCTTTTCATTGATGTACTGTTTATTCATATGGGGATTTCCATGTAAAATAAGTTGCAATTACGTTGCAGTTCAGCTGTGTGCCACATTATAAGTGTGGAGCAAAGAAAGGCACACTCCTCATCCCTGCTTCTTGTACAGCTAGGTAATCCCTATGCTATGGTTTTTGAGTTGCCATATTGTGTCATCATTATTCTAATTTCTGAACTAGAAACCACATTGACCTGCTAGGCCCCTGGGCCCAAGGACAAGCAAACCACCTAGGCTTAAAACTTATGACTTTGAAGAAACTTATGATTTTGAAGAAAAAGTCTAGCATGTTATATACTCCCATTATTGTTGCTTTTCATTTACTTTGTTTAGTAATGATGTTTTTATTTGAGGTTTTGGTAGAAATCTAAGGAAGAATGGTTCAACTGTGGTCTGCAAAAAAATGATCAGGATTTCAAAAAGCATATGCTTCCAAAATATTTAATTGTTCATAGAATAACACAAGTATAGTAGGACTCTTCTGTCTAGTTTTCATTGATAGTAGATTTGCAAAACATTTTAAACTGTCCTTTTTCCAGCTTTTTGACTTGGTGTACAGAGAGGAGACCTTGCTGAATGTCATTAAAAGTGTTACTCGCAATGGACGTTCCATCATCCTGACTGCTGTTCTTGCTCTTATCTTGGTTTACCTGTTTTCGATAGTGGGCTACCTGTTCTTCAAAGATGACTTTATCTTGGAAGTAGATAAACTACCTAATGAGACGTTATTGCCAGGTGGGTACTAGTCTTTTCTAGTACAGTGGCTTAAAAAAGTGCTACCAATATACTGTGCATTTGAGTTTCATCCCCACCCTTTGACTTTCCACATTTTGCTGCAAATGAAATGGATTGAGTTGGCATTGTAACCACTTGATGTACACAAAATACTCAACACTGTGAAGATGGAAAATATTTTTATTGTGGCAAAAAAGTTACCGTATTTTTCGCTCTATAAGACGCGCCTGACCATAAGACGCACCTAGTTTTTAGAGGAGGAAAACAAGAAAAAAAATATTCTGAATCAAATGGGCACATAATCACAGGCACATTCCCCATCACTTCCCCATGGGCTGCACATCTGACAGACTTACTGCACACACATATTTGCTCTATAAGATGCACAGACATTTCCCCTTACTTTTGAGGGGGGAAAGTGTGTCTTATAGAGCAAAAAATATGGTAGCTAAACAAACACAAATAGACACTTCTTGGTTGCATAAGCATTTGCCCCTCTGAGTCAATACTTAGTAGAAGCACCTTTAGCAGGAATTGCAGCTGAAAGTCTTTCTGGGTCAGCCTCTATCAGCTTTGTGCATCTGGATCCTGCAGTATTTATCCATTTTCCTAGCAAAGTGTTCCAGCTCTGCCAGGTTAGGTGAAGACTGTTGGTGAACAGCAGCTTTCAAATCTTGTTGCCAATTCTCTATCAGATTAATGATTCAAGTTATTAAAACACTCTAGTGTTACTTTCTCTGGATGATTAGGTCATTGTATTGCAGGAAGGCACACTTTCAGCCCAATCCCCATTCTCTTGTAGTCTGAAACAGGTCCTCCTGTAATAGTGCCCTTGATCTGACTCCATCCATTTTGCTCTCAATCCTGGTTAGCTTCAGAGGTCCTGTCAAGGAAAGGTATCTTTACAACATGATGCTGCCACCGCCATGCCTCACAATGACTATGGTGTACTCGGGGCCATAATCACTGTTGGTATGGTTTTGTGCCACACGTCGCATTTTGCAGAAGCCCAGATTATCAGTTTTGGTCTCATCAGAAAACTTTATTGTATCTCTCACATGTCTTTTTGAAAATTCCAAAGAAGCCTTGATATGGGTTTGTTTCAGTAGTTCTCTTTTCACTAGTCAGCTTGGCTTTGCAGAGTGTCTGGATGATCTAGTTGTCCCATGGGTGGTTTCCCTCATCACAGCTGCAAATGTCTTTGGTTCCTTCAGAGTTATTATTTGCCTCTTAGTTGATTCACTGACTAATGTAGGCCTTACCTGGTCACCAGGTTTTGGTGGACCACCTTCTCTTAGCAGAATTACAGTAGATCCATCTCCTTTCCCTTTGTAATAATGAATTGAATGGTGCTCCTGGTGATGCTCATAGTTTGAAATATATTTTGTTTTATAACTGAACCCTGATAGGCCATTGGCCTTCATGATGCTATTTGTTTAGATGTGCTCTCCAACAAATTCAGGAGCCTTTTAGAAATAAGTGTATTTAATTTGAAACTCGAACTGTACCAGGTGGACTCCATTTACCTACCTAGAATATGGGATGTCTAGAGGCAGTGGGCTTATTTATGCATGTCACAGCAAAGAGGTGAATGCTTACACAACCAACAACTGCCTATTTGTTTCTGTGTACTTAACTGCTATGCAACAATTAAAATATTGCATCTTTACACTGATGAATTTTGTCATGATAATTTTTAAGCTATCCTTAGATGAGAATGTCTGGAGTCCAGAGCTCCGTTCTGACCAATATGTCTATGAATTAAAAATTACTGGGCAAATCTGTGGCTCACTGATTTTTTATTTTTACTTGAATAAGATATAAAGTGTACATGTCTCCACGCCATGTCAGATCTTTCAACACAGATTTGAATAAAAGATTTCCTTCTCCCCCTACACATTGGCTACAGAGTGCTTGCTGGACGGAAAAAGCAACTACCACCAAGCATTTCTGAGATCACAACAGAGACGAAGATTGTCCATAGATTTTAATCATGCTACTTTGATTCAAGTAAACAGGAACATTTTCATTTTCACTTTGAAGGTGCTGTAACTTGTCAAGTATTTCGAATGTTAACTCCTAACGAACTTGAAAAACATTGGCACAACTTGATTGCATTTTAAATCACATGAGATAAGTTTAGATATATTGAGAGTGTTAATGGCTAACCTGGGAAATAATACATCTTTACAATTAACAATTCCTATAATAAAATAATTGGAGCATGCATGTTGATAGGTGTGTGAGAAATCTGGTGTCATTTTAAGTTTCGTGGCTGATACCATTGTTTTTTAACTTCTAGATCAGCACACTGAAACTGGTGAAGCAATGACCAGTGAGTTCCTGTATTCTAATGTATGCAGAATAGGCAGCAGTGAAAACTGTTCTTCTGTTGTTCCTTCCACAGGTAGGTGTCTTCTGTCATCTGGATTTTCATGTGCCAGTTTTAAATTGCAGTTCTCATCACCTTTACATGCTGTGCTTCAGCAGCATTCTCACCCCCCCCCCCCCGGTAGATCCACAGGTTTCTGGAAACTTTTACTGGATGAGCTGCTGCCTTCGGCAGAGGCACTGAGTAGCATCCCAGGTTTATATACTGGGGAGGGGTCTTTATACATTGCTGTCCAGACTTGGGTTCAGGCAGGGGAACACTCCATCAACTTGTCCTGCTCTCTTCTGCTGATGTCTGGACCTAAGAGACATAGTATCTCCCACAAAGCCCTTCTCTTGTGTGTCTGTTGCCTGAAAGGATGTTTCTGTCTGATCACAGGAGCCTCTGGCAAGATCAAGTTTTTCAGCTCCAATCAGTCTCCAATGCCTCCCCCTTCCCCTGTTCAACAGAAGTGGAAAGCCAAGCTGAGCTGAATCACCCAGCCTCTTGCTATCCTAAGCTGGACCAGACTAAATCTCCCCTCCTCTGAACTTGACTCTATGTCTGGGGTAAAAATTCTGCCTGACCTGGGGCAAGGCCCTGCTGTTAAGGAGCACAAGGAGCTGCATCATGTGGTGGTTAGAGTACTGGATGGGAGAACTGGGAGATGCCAATTCTAGTCCTCATTCATGAAGCTCACTGGATAACTTTGTGGGGCCAGTCACAGGCACTCACCCTAACCTATCGCACAGAGTGGCTGTTGTAAGGCTAAAATTTAGCTATGTAAATTGCCTTGGGTTTCTCACAAGAGAAAAAGCAAAATTGAAATGCAAATGGAAAATGCAATAACAACCCATCACAGGTAACTATCATGAACTGTTGCATAGTCTGAACAATTCTGTGGGTTGTCCTGCCATCTAAACCTAAGCTGCTTCCTGCAGGGGAATATACTTTTGGCAATAACCTACCCTGACAGCCCATGGTTTGTTGTGGGAGTTGATTGATCCACAGTGGGCTCCCCTATCATCCAAAGATCAGTTACCTTGAGGGTTGTGTGGTTCAACTGGAGAACCACTTAGCAAGAGCAGTTAAACCCTCTGCTATTCTTCTCAGTCCTGAACTTGACACCACCAGCAACTTCTACTGATGTTCTGCCACCCTTTAAAAAGTCCCAGAAAAGTGATCAACTATATTTGTATTTTTTATTTCTGTTGTGTTTTTCCAAGTGTGTGCTTACTGCTGTCTGGTTATATGTAGCCTTGTCTTGTCAATATCATTGATTTCGCTATTCTAAGGAGCAAAGTGCATAGAGATCGAGGAGACAATTATTTTTTTAATAAAAAAGTTACAATTTAATAATGCTTACTTTCTAATCTGCAACTCATTGCATCTGTTTTTTTCCTCTTCATGAATCTCTGGGTTCTTCAAGAAAAAGCTTTTTCTTGTGAAATTGCCCTGCTTCAAACACAGAATGTCATGGGTCCAAAAGATTATGTCTTCCACTTGTAAGCCTCCCAACAGCTATTTCCAACAACTACTACTATTTTCACACAGAGACATACCCTTAAGAAAGAAAAGATAGAAGTGCATAGTAGCTTTGCATCAGTGGGGCTAGGAACCATCTGTATGGAAGTAACTCACATACACGTTTCTCTTTCTTTGACCCAATTGCTCGATCAGATAATCACATCTCTTTGTACTGTCTGAGATCTAAACTCTTAGCTCTTTCTGTTTTCCCACCCACAGATCTTTCTGCAGTTTATTCTCATCTTTCAGTTTAATTCTCTTAAAAAATAAACTCCTGTCTATTTCTTTCCTCAGTGAGTTTGTGCAATTGCACACAAGGCCTTTTATGGTCATCCAGAAGGTGTAGCAGACACCTGTGGGCCGTGCAAGGCATCTCATCTGGCTTCAGTGCATTTGGCAAACTGGCAGAAGCTCTGCCATGCCTGTGCCTCTGGACACAGGGCAGTGAGGCCAGCACAGAGGTGACATAGGCAGCCTTCCATTTCTGCTCACAGCTTTGATAGTTTCAGGTGGCCTTTAGAAGTGCTACAACAAGAGGTAGGAAAGAGCTGCTGCAAACATTGTTTATTTGACATATTCCCAGAAGGGCTAGAGAGAGGGGTGGGGCAACACTTGTCCCTACCCCTGCAGTCATTCTTGTGAGCTTATAAATATGGTCCAGAGATACCCTGATCTCTTTACCAGGAGAAATTGAGATTGGTACATTGTACTCCTTTTGAAACTTCTGGGACTGGAAGGAGTTGATATTCAACAGTGACACTAAGTTTGTTTTGGAGAAGTCCCATGCATAGTGGGAAAAATTCATGTTAAAGACCTGCATCTGTTGCTCACTGATGTATATTTTAAAAGTTCTCACAGCTCAGAACATATACTCGTAACATGGATGAGGAGAGCTTTTGCCATATTCCAAGTTTGTGGGTTAAAAAAATAGCCACCAGCTCAACATACCACTACACCGTCAATGTGGGATTACAGGAGAAAACAGGAAAGGGGGGATTCCTGTGGAATCATAACTATCTCCAAGTGGCTGTGCAGGTTTGAGCAAAGAGGAGAATGTGGAATATGGGCAAGCAATTTTCAAGTCTGTTCTGTGTCTCTGGTGTCCTAACTGCTGTGTTCACTAGAGCTGTTTTCCGAAGAAGCAGAAGAAGAGGATAAAGAACATACATGTGAGACGTTGCTGATGTGCATTGTCACTGTGCTTAGTCATGGCCTGCGGAGCGGGGGCGGCGTAGGAGATGTGCTCAGGAAACCATCCAAGGAGGTAAATTATAACTGTAGGTGAGAAGGGAGGTAGGGAAAGAGAGAAAATCATATGGGGTTAAGGGTCTGGAAAGCCTTTTCCATGGAAAAAATCTCTCTTACTGCATCTGTCAGGAAAAGTCAAAAATGGTCATATGCAAAGTTGGAGCATTTGACTTAATATGAAGTGTGTGTGTGTGTGTGTGTGTTCACGGACTCACTTATATAACTGTTTTCGCTAAATTAATAGCCTTGTAATAGCAACAGTAAAGAAATGTCAGTGTTGCTTTTGGTTCTGTTGGCCATACAAGTACTTGCAGACATACTATTAAGTAGAAAACATTGATCTTAGCTGTGCAAGGACTTTCCCACAGCTCTGTTCCTTTTACTGTGTGTAACCTATGAGCGCCTTCTGGTCATGCAAATAATTTCCTGTGAACCAAAACAGTGAATACATGTATTATCAGAACTACTGTAATAGCATTTCTGTGCAATTGGAGTGCATTATTTCAGTTCTTAATGCCCCACTTAATAGTATTTTTCTTTTCCATCACATCACACTATTTCTTCTGCAATGACCTTCTTTACTCTGCATTTATTTACTTGAAAACCATTTGTATTTTAGGAACCTCTTTTTGCTGCAAGAGTGATCTATGATCTCCTGTTCTTCTTCATGGTGATTATTATTGTCCTCAATCTGATTTTTGGAGTTATTATTGATACCTTTGCTGATCTCAGGAGTGAGAAACAGAAGAAAGAAGAAATTTTGAAAACAACTTGCTTCATTTGTGGTAAGTATAGAAGTAGCAGCCACATTGTTCCAGCAAGATGCAGGCAGATTAACAAAAAGTTTATTGTTGAGCCCAGCATTCTCTCTCTGTCATCTAATGATGTCAGTTCTTAGGTTTAACCTCTGTTGTATAAGCAACAGAAAACTTCGCAGTACTTGCTTTTTCCACAAAGAAAGAAAATAAAACCTGTAACAAGTAAAAATAGCTTTTATATTTATCTGTGTATCTGAATTCCTGATTCAAATATATGAATGCTTGTGTGTGTTTAAGTCTATGTTATGAATATACTTAAGGTACATGCTTACCTGGAGCTTTGTAGAATTATGTAACCTTCCAAAGGCTACATAATTTTCATGTTTCTGTAATTATAAACCACCATTGTAGAAGTATTCTTAGGCCTCAAATTTCTGATGCAGCACTAAGCCATATTTTACAGCAGCCTTCCTCAACCTAGTACCTTCAGGTGTGTCTGGCTGGGTTCTCCGAAGTGCTCCCAACTGGGCTACATTTTGAGACAGAGGCAGTTCCCGGGTTATGAATGAGTTTCTGAGAAAACAGAGATTCATCTTTAAGTCAAATTTGTATTTAAGTCAGATCACATACAGTCAGCTCTCCACAGCCATGGGGGTTAGGGGTACAGGACCCCCATGAAAGTGGAAAAACTGCAACTGTCTCTAACCTGCTCCAGCCCTGCCCAAACTCACCAGAGTCTACTCTTTGCCACGAGGAAATGCCAGAAAGATTTCCCCCTCTGGATGGGCAGGGCAAGAAGCCATGCTTAAGAGGGCTCCCTCTCTCCCCTTTCACTTCCTCTCTCTCTATAGTAATGTTTTGAAGGCCTTTTCTCCCCTTCTGCTTCCTGTCACTCTATGGTGATGACAATTTCCTGCAGTAGTTTTTACAAATTAATAGACTTTAGGGCAGTAGTTGTAAATACAGCCTGTTTGTAACTTGGGGACTGCATGTACTTCGTTTTCTTTCTTGCTCTGTTTAAAAAGGTAATCTTCATGAAGCCTCTAAACACTGCAGCATGCACAATATATTACATTTTCAGGTCTCTGCAACCCAGAGCAACATAATTGCCTATAGATACAGGACTGATCTCATGAGGCAGGGTGACATTTCTCAGCAGGAGGGGAGTGCTTCACAGCTGCATCCACGCCCTGCACAATCAAGTGCTGGGAATGCTGCTCTCCACCAGTGCCCGACAGGCTCAGTGCCTCACGTTGCGGAAGGGCTTCGCAGAACTGGGCACGGGGAGAGCAGGCACTCCAGAGGCACTGCTGACTGACCTCCTGTTGTATCAGATGCGGCAGCAGGAGAGTGGCCAGCGGGCCCGGTGCCTCGCTTTGATGGGTCCTTCCCCTCGGAACAAGGAACAAGGGGTTGGGGAGGGATTTCTCAGAGTGAGCCACTGGGTGACAGGAGCACTCTGAGGAGCCCAGCCAGACACTTGCTTGCCAGTGAGGAACCAAGCTATCGTGGGCGTGGGGATTCTGGGAAATGCCTGTGCTGCTGCTGTCGGGATAGTGTAGGGCACAGACAATTTTGCTATGGTGCATGAAACAGCTTAAAGAGGGAAGAAATAAAACAGTTTCATATAGTGAAAGAACATATATCCAATCTCTCTTTAAATTACTGCTGAAAATCAGTGGCTCTAACACAATGTGTATGTGCGCAGAATTGTAGCAGTAAGTCTCATGTGGAGGCACACTCACTGGTTTCGGGGCAGATACCCATTCCTCTCCCTACAATTAAATTCAGGGGGAAGCCTGTGATATCTGCTTGCTGCTCTCTGAAATCAAGCCGAGGAAAAGAAGCTCATTATCGTTTGCATGTATATGCATATCCTTCTTTGTTCTTAGTCTCATTAAAATCAATGGGACAAGGTACCGTGTTTCCCCGAAAATAAGACACTGTCTTATATTTTTTTTGGCTCAAAAAACACATTAGGTCTTATTTTCAGGTAGGTCTTTTTTTAATGTACAAAATGTACACTTAATGTACACCCTTCTGCTCTGCACTTTTCTGCTGTGCACCCTTCTGCTGTGCACTCTCAACTGCTGCCAAAAGCTGTATACACCGATCCTCTCCTGCGCCTGCTACCGGTACTGTCACAGGCAGCGGAGGAAGCAGAGCTGCATGAGCCGATGCTTCCTCTATAGTGCGGCTCCTGTGACAGGCGGAGTGCATTTGATTTCACTCCGCCCTTCACAGGAGCCACGACTGTAGAGGAAATATCGGCTTAAGCCGCTCTGCATCCTCCCGCTGCGCCCTCTGCAAGTAAGCAAAAAAAGTAAGACCTGTTACCAATAATTTTTGGTAATAGGTCTTACTTTCGGGGTTAGGGCTTATATTATAGGACCTACCCTGAAATAAGACTAGGTCTTATTTTCAGGGTAGGTCCTATTTTCAGGGAAACATGGTATTAACACATTGTAGTGCACATTGATTGAATTGAGACAGCACAACTAGCATTAATGACTGGATCTAAAGTAGGATCTTTACTTCTGGCTTCATGTAACTAAGGAAAGGTCAACAACGCAGCTCTTTCTCAAGACTGTTCTTAATCCCTGTGGATAACTGATGGACTCATGCAAATTAAAATTCTTAAAAGACTTTGGCCAAGGGAAGCAGATACCCTATATAAATGTATTAAATCCCAAAATAAAAGTGGGAAAAATAAGGCATTTTAAGTAATTTCTGAATAATTATAATCTTCAGTGTGTTTTCCATATTATGAAGCTGGAGGTGATGGTCATTCCACTTTAAAAGTCTAAACATGATGGTTGGGCTGTGTTTTCCCCCTTAGGCCTGGAAAGAGACAAGTTTGATAACAAGACAGTCACTTTTGAAGAGCATATTAAAGAGGAGCACAATATGTGGCACTACTTATTCTTCATTGTATTAGTAAAAGTAAAAGATTCCACAGAATATACAGGTCCTGAAAGCTATGTGGCAGAAATGATAAAGGTGAGTTGGACATACTCTCCCCATAACATTGTGTTTCCAGACTTCCTTGCTTTTGATTAACTATTTGCAAACCCAATTTGTATTATTACATAAGGTTAAAAGAAATTGGGAGGTTGGGTGACAAAACAATCCCAGTAAGTTAAGTCAAATATGGTTTCATTTTGGGGCAGCGGGTCGGGGGAGGGGGTTAAACATGTAGAAAATATTAATGGGAAATAAATGGACTGAATAGCTATATCTATTGGATGGACTCCACCAGAAGAATAGTGAGGAGGTTATTAAACTTCAGCAGGGCCTGTAATTAACTTTTCAAATGCCAAGATAATACTTTGGAGCCATGCCAAAGCCATATGACCTTCAACTTGTTAGGAAGAGCACCAGAAAAGCAACAGAAATAATTGCCTTGAAATAGCTTTCCCCCAGTATATTGTTTAGATAAGAGCTGCCTTTGCTGCAAGAACTGAAACTGTTTGTTTTCCTGCAGTAGCCCTGTCCCTTTCCTATCTCCCACAAAGACAGCTTGGCGGGGGAGGTAGGGTTTGTATGTTACCAACAGCTTCTGAAATGAGGAGGAGGGAACATGATAAAATCTATGGCATGAGGCACTGTCTTTTGATCTCAGTTTGGAGAAGGGAATTGATGTGTTGCTTTCCCAGTCAATTTGGAAGCCCATGGACCATGCCCAGGCCCATTCAGGGAACTAATATGACCATAAAGAAAGTATAAGCTTTCTTTTGCTTGTTTATATTTGGCTTCCATAGTTCATCATTGTATTCAATAAAGTGTATATCATCCTTGATACAAATGGTTCTTTTGTCCTGAAAGACCTAGAAGCTGAGGTCAGGTGGCTTGGCAGGACTATGTTATTTATTTTATTTAGGATTTTTCTAGGCCGTCCAATCACTTCTGTCTCTGGACAGCTCACAACAATCTATAAATACAACAATAAATAATAGCATCTGTATCCTAAACAATAATAAATTAGATGTTAGGGATAGATACTGTATAGATACCTATGCCATATATCTCTGTGTATGGAGAGATATTTCAGTTCTTTATCCTTTTCTTACCACTACATGAATAAATGAATAATAAATGAAATATATGCATTCTAACACCAGTCCTGGCTCTGTAGTTTGAGATTCTGTCCATATTCATTAGATGTCCATTGGAGATACATATTCGTGGTGCTGGAAGTGGGGAATCCTGTAATGGTTGCAAGGAGATGGACACCCAATTCATTTAGTTCCTTTTTCTCTTAATGGGTAGTGTGCCTCTGAAGGCTAATATTTTGCTTTCGTGATTTAAAAATGATAAGTGGCATGTGCATTGCAAAGGTAAAAACTTTTCGTTATTATTTTAACAACGTAATGGACAATATTCAATGAGCATCAGTGACACTGTGGAGCAAACTTCCTGCATCCCCCCTCCCCCCACCATTCCTCCTTCAGGTATCCCAGAGAATAATGCAGAAGGGACAAAATTTCCTACCACTTTGCTGCCACTGCAAGCCCCTTACAGCTTGATGCAGCTTGACTTTTGCCCAAATCCTAACCCTAAGCATGTACACATACATATACGCGTACACATACACACAGAGAGAAAGAGAGAGAGAGAGATTTTACAGCCAGCTTTCCTAATCTTCTCAAGAGCATCTGTAAGGTGTTCCTTCATGGAGCTCCTGCAGCACCTTGAGGGGGGTACGCATGGTTACTCCCCATAAAAAAAAAAAAGTAAATATGCACAAATAACTATGCTCATTAGAAAAAAACCCTCCAGTCTGCTTGGGCGGAATACCTCATTGGGTCCCTGACATAAGTACTGGCCAAGGCAGGTACCCACCCTGTACAGTGTCTGGCCCAGGCTGCAGATAAGTATTTCTGCCCTTGCAAGTCTTTGATAGTTCCAGCAGTTCCTAAGCTGTTATATTCTTGCAAAGGTCTAGGATATTGTGATTGGTTTAAAAAAAACCCCTTTCCTGCTTTTTGCAGCACAATCTTCACATTTCATTGTCCCCACTGGCACCTCAGTTTTGAAAGGATCCCCTTGATGCCATTGGGGAACATTCAGGATTAGAGGGGATGCCTACTGACAGGTGTGCTGAATCTGACATACGTCTAGCTTGTGTCAAACTCAGAACTCTGTTTCTGAAGTGGAGTTTAGAAGACTTAGCCATTTTCTTTTTTGCAGGACAGAGGGCTGGCTATAGACTTTATAAAGGTGTACAATTTCCTGCTAAAATGGAAATTGTTAATCCCTTCCAAATCTTACTGTAAAAACAGAGCTCCAAGCTTGAAAGTTCAGCAGAACTGTCAAACCTCACTTATTCCTGTCAGTGAGAACCTCTCCAAGTTTTATAGCTCCCTGATGTGTTGTCATCTTAGGGACACTTGAAAAAATGAGGGAATGCTTGGGACTCATGTAGCTGGAAAGGGAGAAAAATTGGGGGATGGCTCCCAAATGTCCTTTTCTGCATGATCCTTGGGATTTTTAGGAGTGGCCTCTCTGCCCCTGGTCTGTCCACACTATGAAAAATGAGAGCAGCCCAGGAGCACTTAGACAGCCTAAATGTACTTCCAGGCATTTCTAGGCTCCCACCACCTGGTATGCGTGAGCACTGAGGAAAGCAGGATCAGTCTACAGCAACAGTATATGAATCTATTACAGTAAATGAGCAACAGCTCAGTGGGAGGAGGAGGGGGAGGAGGATTTTTTTTTTTCTAGTTACATCCTGCCTTTTTCCTCAAAGGGCTCAAGGCAGCTTACATCATTCTTCTCCTCCATCTTATCCCCACAACAACAACCCTGTGAGGTAGGTTGGGCTGAGAGTCTGTGACTGGCCCAAAGTCACCCCGTTGGCTCCATGGCTGGGCGGGGACTAGAACCCAGATCACCTGAGTCGCAGTCCCATGCTCTTAACCACTACGCCACACTGGCTCTCAGTAAGCTGACATTTTGGTAATTTTGGTAAGCTGACAGTGTAGAATGGCTCCACAAGTGCTGAAATAATTCTCTTGGTATTCTCCACAGCTTTAATCCCATAATGCTTTTGGGTCATGACTACTTTTCCTTCCTGCAGCCTTTCCAACATTGAGGAGAACACCTGGTGCCTCTTTACAACTACTTTCTCCTAAAATGGAAGGGTTGATCATATGTAATGTTATAAATACATAGCCTGGATATGTTAGCTAGGTTCTGGTAGGGCCTTTAGGGACTCTAGAAGCCATCCTTGCATAGTTGTCTATGTGCAGTAACTAATCCAATCTTACAATTTTCTATTAAAATGTAGTCATTGTCAAGCATATCTGTTAATGTATTAATTAGATTTTTATATGATGGACTACATTATGATGGACTACACGTATCTAGGTAACTTTAGTTAAATGCATTAAAATACTTTCTAGTATTCATGAAATATTGATATGCATTAAAATCTATATTTGCTAAAACAACATTAATAACTTTGTTATTAATAAAGTTGTTATTAATGACAACATTAAAGCCAACAAATATTAATTATATCTATTAATTAAATTTGGTTCTATAGTAGCCACAAATTAAACACTTAAAGTGCTTTATACAAACACAGGATGGTTGGATTTATTTAAGGTAAACTACTGATTTTATATTAAATTGTTTGGTCAGAAGAATCTTCAGTGAGTTCCAAATGTTTGTTGCCGTGAGTTAAACAGCAATGTTTCTTTACCTTTGTATCTAAGACTAGTGTCCTCTCAGGCTGGAGATCATTCTGTTAGGAAAACAAAATTGTAATAAAGTCTCTTCAGTTCATCAGAGCTGTCTTAGATCATGACACTTTTATTTTAACTTTCAGTAATAGTTATCAATTATGTTGTAGCATCTTTTGTATACCTCCTCAGAAACAGTATTGGTGTATGATGGGGGTGGGGCAGGGAATCATAGGTTCATAAGTCCTGAAACAGTTAGCAGTTCTCAGAGTCTGATTTGCTGATTAGCACATTGACTGGTCACGAGAATGTGCTGCATTTCTTTCTGAACCCTTCCGCTTGGTAAATTTTCTCTGAGGCAAGTCCAACTGAATGTTGATCTCTACTTCTTGCAGAAAAGCATGCAATTTCCCTTTTAAGGTTCAACATATGTTAACTTGTTTTGAATATAAATCCCACTAAGATTTCTGTTAAGTAACTTACATTACTGTGGGGCCATTGAAGTATATGCCCTAGTTTCACAGTACTTCCTAAGTCATGAGGGCTTAAAGAAGTCTTGTGAGCAGTCACCTGATGGAAGATTAGCAAGGTAGTAAAGCATGGTACTATTCTACCATGTAGGTAGCCTACATGGCTATATAGTACCTAGGCATGCAAAAATGACCAGTGCTTTGGGAAATGCAATGCCCAAGCCAGTAAGCCATGCTGAGGTTCAAACTACAGCCATTTCAGTTACAAGTGAAGAAGGATGTAGAAATTTGGACACTCACTACTCTTCCAAATTGCTCTTTACAATTTACCTGCTTTGATTAGTAAAACAAAACTTAGGAGAAAATATTCACATAACATAACACTATATGTGGATTGATTCTGAGCTATTATATTGGCACTGAGACATATAATAAATGATCCAAGAAATGGATGGAAGGGAGCTCTTCATGTATTTAGTTTTCTAATGAGAGGCCTTTTGAAATTCCAGTACAAAGACTGCAGATAACGGCTTAGTTCGTAGAACATGACATCCATGATGGACATTCAGCCATTGTGGATTGTTGTGCTGCTTGAACTTGGTGCCTTCTCCTCAGAGTGGCTTAATTTTTGCAAACAACGCCCCTTGAGAACACATGGCTTCTTGTAGCGTTGTTCTTACCTAAAAGAAGCCACGTGTTCAAACCCAGCAGTGTGATTTTTTTCATGAATTGAGGCAATCAGCTACAGAACCACTTGACAAAAACAGCAAAAAGTTCATGCTGTTCTTTGCAGTCTTGCCAGTGACTTCACCTTATGTCCTACAGCACTTTGGAAGGACTGCCA